ACTAAAAAAAAAGGTCATTTTCGTCAAGGAGTCCAAAACGTCTTTCTCCATTAGCTTGGAAAGCTATCTTTTTTGTCAATTGAGCATCTCACCTTACAATTTAAATTGATGTTAGTGTGAGTAAAAGATAAATCAATTGTTTTTTCTATTTCAATGCTGGGATATTGCATGGCAAAGGGAACTTCTTTGCAACCTACATAAGCCGGTGTGTTACCAAAATCAGTGATGCATTGATATTTTCGTTTGGCGCCTGCTAAGCAATTGTAACAGCCTTCTAAAGATATAATTTTAATATCGCATGTATTAGCGTCTTTATTGACTGAAATTTAGTAATTTTTGAATTCTGCCTGCAATTCAAATAACCCTAAATTATTTAAACCCGCGTTAACATTTTTTCCTACCGTTCTGAGCATTAATCCAGGTGTAGATAAAAGTAAATTCGATTGAGTGTTACTAATTGTGTCTTCTAGATCATGACTGTATCAGGAACAACTTACGTTGTTTTCTCCACTGGAGCATTGGCACATGTCTTGTGGCAGTGTGCAACTCACTGTTTTCGCTGATTCATAGTTCGCACATTGAAGGTTTCCAATCATTCCTGCCAGTTTGGCACCTGCCGGGGAAGCGAGAAGTAGTACAGAGGAATGCCCCGTCTGTTATGAACTGTTGGCTCAACATAGGTAATGAGCTATAGGAAATTAGAGATAATCGTAGTCTTTTGAGTTTTACCTTACATCTTCCTAATGAAAGGAGTTCTTTCGTAATTATTTCTCTGTGATCCTTCCGTTGTGAAGTGATCTTGACAAATCTGTTCCAGATGGGGCATGTGAACGTTTCATATACTGTCGTAGTGATAGGCAGTGCATAAATACGACATAGTAGACAACTTGATGAGCATGAAAAACATCCACATCTTGTGCAGCCGCATGAAGCTGAACAATAAGTTCTTCATAGGTTGGTATTAGGTTCTCCATCAAATTCTGATAATTTTGATTTTGGTTTAATGTTGGCACATTTTTCTCCGACGCATGATCCAGCAGATGCGCATCTTTTCATGGACACTATTTCAATAGTAAATGATCGTGTATAATATGACGTTCTTTTTTGACATGTCAATCCGAGCTTGACGCTTTTAATTGTAATTATACCTAACGGTTGTTCCATCGGTCCCTGCAGTTGAATGCACACCTCTTGGCCTTGCGGGGCTAAAACCAGCCAAAGTACATTTGATATACCGCATTTATTAATTCCTTCCTTTGTTCTTTGACAATGGTTTGATTGATCTTGAATCAAAGTGACTTGAATGCACCTTTGAGTAGGAAGATTCGATTGAAAATTGTGGCTAAAATTAAGGCTTTATGAAAGTTTTGGCTTTAAATTGTAAAAGGCCGACTTCTTTCTTTTAAATTAAAATGACTGAATTTGTTCTTTGTTTAAGATCGTTTCAGAAATAAAACTGAAATAAGCCTTGCCATGCCTTTTTTAACATAAAAAGTCTAAATAGGAAGCAATGTCCTAAAAGAAGGATTATTTTTTACAATACATGTAATATTAGCACACT